AGACCAGGTTTCACGGGTTAGTATCTAGTCACTTCCGACATTTACAGTATGCATGCCAAACAGGATATCCATTTGCACACTTTCCTCCAGTTTAACCTCTTACTGTATATGAGACAAAATTTATGTTTTTTCTCCATGTGGAGGAGTTCATTGTCCACCTGTGCAGCAAATGCTTGGCATGCACAATATTAATTATACAAGCGACTGATATCCTTCAAAGTGCCGTTCATTTCATTTATGTACCACCTGACCTCTCTTGCTGTTGTAAATATAGTTTTAACCGGGTAACACCTAGCTGCATGCTTGATCAGTGTTTTCTTTAAGTGAAAAAATGGGGGTTTTTTCTTGTCTGCTCACAGTTGACCCTGTTTTCAGATGTCACGGGAAAGGAAATACATGTAGAACGTTCCTTTGTTTTGTGCCTGCACAAAGCACAAAGTCATACCTTACAAACTCTGTTGGTGTGTGAACTACACTTGTCAGGATTAGTTTTTCACTTATAGAAGTCACTCTGTTTTACAAGTTCCTTGAAGTCAGGTTGTTCATCTGCAGTCACAGGGATCAGTGTTTGTTTTACCTGAACAGAAATAAACCAAAACAGGTCCTGTCATACTGTTAATTGAGTTCGTGATGATTTTGATTGGAAATGACTGGATTCACATGTACTAATAATTCATCTCGGCTCAATAGAATGCACAATTTCATTTGGAATAACCAACTTCTTTTTCAAGCCGAGGAAGCAAATCTGTTATTCGGTACATGTACAGTGTAGTTTAAACAGCCACCAAAATACAGTCTTTAGTCGGTGACTTGTATCCTCGTCAATTGTTCTCAAGCAATCGATAACTATCGACACAGCCGGGGTGAAACAAAAGAACAAGTGAAGGTGTTGAGTGCAGTCAAAGTGACCAATGTAGTCTTATCCTGATGTGGAAGTTACATTCAGTATCAGGACTTCATCCTGTATCATTTCACCCTTGTTTAGTCACTGTGCTGTCCAGTTGTCCATCCATTTGTATTTTGGGTCCATCGGTGAAGCATCCTTTCCAGATAGCATGTATCTATCCCTCACAAGTCACAACTTACATGTACCAGTACCAAAATTCACCCTTCCTCTTATTTTTGTCACTTTTGTTTGACTAGCCTTTCTTTAGATTTTCTTTCCTCACATCCTAATCTCCTTCGAGGCAGGTATGTACCAAGTTTTTTGTCTTCCAATTTGTCAGGAAGTCTGTTTGTATTGTCCTCTGTGTAAATGATGTGCAAACTAACATTTAATTGTACGTGAATAATATATTCACAGTCATTTTTTCAACGTATTATGTTAAAGCTAACTAAGGTATTATCGATCGAGGCAAATTTTAATCAATCAAATGGCAGTTGGACTACCCATCAATTACTCTTATAAATCCCATTGTCAAATTGCAGCTACAAGTATGTGTGAATCACATGCAGTTGGCTGCAGCTTAAAATTGCACACAACTCTATGGAGAGGGGTGACAGCCTCAGGCATAGACTCATGTAATTTCAAGTCGCAGCAAAATAATCTGATCAGAGGTCAAGGTAATGTTTAATGCCGATATCATGGGTTTTTAACATGCCAAACAAGGGCACATACAGTACAGTAATATTGTTTCAATCTGTTTCAGTATCTTAGAAAGAACTTATTTTGTGACAATGTTTATTTGGTATGTTCATGTTTTCTCTCTGCCAAATTTTTACATAAAGCATTTTCTCGGGGGGGGGTGATTTTTCTCTTTCCTATGTCCTTGTGCACAGCTGCTTACATTGGTATTTTTATCGAAATGGTTTGGACTTTGTGACTTTGTTGCATGACTTTTGTTTCACTGAATCTGCATGGCTTTTTTCTCTGCACGGCAGTTTAAGGGTTGAATATGAAACCTTGGCTTCAAAGCCTGTAAGGTCTTTTTTTTTCAACGAAGCCAAATACATGTATGTGCACTTTATGCATTCAGTGTAAGGTGTTAAAGAAGATGAACGGATGAGACAGTCTTACAGAATGAGTCGTAATGCACATTTGGAGTTAAGCCAAAAAGTCCTGGAACATATTGCAAGCCAGAAGATGCTTGAAATATTTTCCCTCTGTCAAGTCTTGAGATTATTTGGCTTGCAAGCAGTGTGACAGAAGAAGGGGATTGCCTGGCAAAACTTGGCTCAGGCCTAAATTCAACTTGCATGCATAGATGCCTCTGATACTCAGTTTGCAGGATTCAGTGGTGAATTGCATGACACAATTTTCAGGGTCACACAATTTACATGTACAGGTATATGTAGGTGTGTTGAATGACATGGCCCATGCATTCACACACCATCATACCTTGAACTTTGGTCAAGGTCTATTGCACTGTCTGGTTATTTGAACAGGGACACTCATGAACTGATGGATGGTCTCAGCTGTACCCAAGATGCGAGCATGCTTATCGGGGAAGATAACTTAGTGCCCAGGTTACGTCACACGCATGTCCTTGTGAAGCAAAAAACAAAAGTGAAAAAACTTACCAAGCCAATTGTGCTGAGTATATTAACTGAGCCCGACAGCCACTAAATTTGCGTGGCTTTTGGTTGGTAATCTGATTTCACTATCAGTAGAGTAGATATTTTCTGTACCAAGAAGCCCCAGGCCCCACTTCCCCTAAAGCGCTTTGGCTGGTACCCTGCTTTTGATTAACAAAACTTTTTTTGGGGGGGGGGAATCCACAAGCTTGTTATTGCTAACAATCCAGTGAAAAGGGGCAGACGTGCCAAAAGAAATTGTCTATGTTGAGTGATGCTCTGAAATGCAGCCTAGCTACATGTACGTGCGTAATTCCAGAAATTAGGCTTCATTTTTTTCGTGTCCCTGTTACATGTACATCTGACACATGATTTTGTAAGATCAGAACACATTTTCTCATTTCTAAGAGTGATGAATCAATGCAAAACAATTTCGGTGATATTTACACGAAAATGTCACACTTTTGGACCCCAAATTTCTAGAATTATCCACAAGCACATGATGTCCTTGTGAACCAGGGTTAGTTTTTGCTGATGACATCTATCATTGAAAATGTGTGAGATGACACTCATTGTTCTTACAACTTGAACCACACTGTTAGGTCCAAACACTCTGAATTGGGTATTATACAATTATTAGACAGCATGACTTAAAAAAAAATAATAAAAAATACATGTTGAAAATAGTTTGCAGTACCCGCTGCTTCATTTGACTCGGACCGGCCAGCTGACCCCGGCAAGCTCGGTAGTCGAGTGGTTAAGACATCTGCTCTAGTAAGCAGGAGGTCGTGAGTTCGAGTCCCACCCGAGTAAGCTTGT